TTTCTTTGCTTCATGTTCCTTCCACGTCTCCCTCTCTAAAAACATTCTTCCTTATTGTCTCTCCGCCCTCTCTGGTCCACCATTACATCTCATTCACCAGTTTCTTTTCTCCATCAAAATAAATCTTTTTCTTCCCACCCCAATGTCCGACTTTACCCTAACCGCACTCCATACGCACTGCCCTTATTTTCAATACTTTTTCTCATTTTGTTTTTTCTTTCTTTCTCCCATCGATGCATCCATCCACCCGTCCACCCGGTCGACCGTCAGCCAAAAAACTATCTAGACGGCCAGCTAGTCAGCCTGACAGCTAGGAATGCATACATGATATGTTGCATGTGTAATCGACATGTTTACACTACACAGCAATTGCATCTCCAGCATGATTGATGTGTCTGCTGGCGAGTCATGTGCTAAATCTATTGTCTACAATCAAACGATGTTTATATAGTTGGGTGTGCATCTGAAAACGGTGCACCTCTTTTAGATTCTAACTCCCACTTTTCCTTCTTCGCAGGACCAGACGAGGAGGAATGCAAAAGAAGAAAAATATCTTAAAAAAAAAAAGAAAGTTACTATAACAATCAAAACAGTCTTTACACTTCCTTTAACTTTTCTCTTCGTCTTATTTGTCTGTTTTTAGTATTTTACTTCCTTCATTTTTTTTACTGTTTCTTCCAGCGTTTTGTTCTTTTTTTGGGCTTTTTTTTCCTTTTACTTTCGGAGAAGGCATTCTTTTATCTCTTTTTTGTTGTTTTTTTTTCTTTAAGGTCAAAATTGTCCAGAAGATAAAAAAAAATCATTTATCGTGGACTTGTATTTTGTTTCAGTTTTTATGCATTTAACACATTTCATTTGCCAACTTAACTTTCCGGGTTTGGCTGATATTTTGTCTTGATTCTAGCGTCGTCATCGTCATCGTCATCAGTTTTATTGTTATGTTTCTTGTTATTACTGATCTTAGTGCGGATGTTAATAGCGATACTAATGGTGATGTTATAGCTGTTATATTCATATACCTTCGTTGCTATTATATTCATATAATAACAACAACGGTAAATTTATTAACATAAATTGAGCTTCGTTAAAGGAAGACCCTTTACTCTTATGAAAACAGTTTCATTCTCCTGATTGGTTGAATGGCATCAGTCCTCTATCCCAAAAGGGGTAAACTATAAGTCCTTGTCAATTGTGCAAAACGTGAAAATGACTTTAGACATTTACTCAGCAAGATCATATCAGATATTATTAATCTATCTGTTGGATCATAGAAATAAATGATTTTGCTTTTCGTTTTAAAATCAGTTTTTTTTTCTCTGCTACTATAAAGGATAAGACTATAAGAACTACATTAAGACACTACTACTACTACGGCTACTACTACTACTACTACTGCTGCTTTTCCTACTACTACTGCTACTACTACTACTACTACTAATAATAAGTATTTGATCATTTAGAAGTTTATAAATTGTGTATAGTAACGTATTTTATCAACCTAGGACTTATGATTAATACAAATCGTTTAAATAATTTTTTCATTCAATTCAAACGAAGGTCTTAATTTATGTAGTTTACAAGATTAAAGTACAGATCAGACCATAAATGGGATGTTTCTGTACGGTGGAGTAGTAGCGCCACGTATTGATGAATCGAAGAGCCGAGTTCGAATTTCAGGGGAGTTAGTTACATTAACTTCCGAGCAAATACCCTTTGGAAAAGTGTGAATCCATATCTTCTCCGTCCACCCCAGCTATGGATAAATATCAGGACAGCCCTGGGTTAGAAAAGGTCTAAGAGAAGGACAATTCTGAATTCAAAAATTGAGTGGTCGTGTGTTCGGCGACTAAACCACTTCTCCTCACCAGACTAGGGATTGGTAAGGAGAATAATTGGATCCCTACCAGGGCCAGCTGCTATCCACACAAACTATGGGTTAAATAGCCTCACCAACCCGCAATTGACCAAATGTGGTGATTACAGTTACGCACCTCAAGACATGTTCAATCAAGGTGGGGGTTCCTCCAACCGGTTTGAGAAGGCCCTGGATTTGAATTTGGCTGCTATATCTCTGTTGGAGTTGCCCAATCCTAACTTGACGGAGTTCAAAATCGTTTACACAGTCTCGGAGATGGTGAATTATTTTCCACCTTACAATTTTCATCACACAGACGCAACGTCGTTTCAAGGCTATGGCTACTCTATTACCGCATCTATAACAAGTCAAGTCGAGCTCCATTCTTTAGTGCCACCAGCGCAAAAAATTTACAGCCAAGACCCGCTCTGATATATCCCCTGCGAATGATTGATTATTAGGGACAGAAGGATGAAGCACTGTATCTCCTAGATGTCAAATCTAGCGTTTTCCCGCCAAACATTAGCAATGATATACAAGGAATATATGAACTCTGGTCAGGCATCAAAAGCATGTGAAAGAAGGATTGACGCAAGATCAGGATCGCTGGCGATTAATAAGGATGCTCACTACCTATCGAAAGAGAAGATTACATCAATTCCTAGCTCAAGTTAACGTATATACTGCTAAATCCATCAGTAATTTATTATATAAGCACTATTTTTCGATGTGGTTTCGTAGTTGTTGAGAAAAAGGGTGTAATGGCCCAGTGGGTAGATGGACCAATACTATTTATATGATTATACTTTCAACGTACAGGATTCAAGTAAACAACAAAACTCCAAACTGTGAATCAACAAGTATATATTGAAATAACATACAAAGCAACACAAATATGCAATAAAATTGAGCAAAATGTATAGATTAATTCAATGTATTGATTAAGAGAAAGAAGTTGTTTTCCCCTTTAATTGTATTTTGATTTGTAATTGATTGTTCGAAGAAAGTTCTCTTGAGAGAAAAATGTTCAGGAATCAATATTAGAACAAGATCTGTTTGTTAGAATAGATAACACAAGAATACAATTGATCAAAAATGTATTGTGTTATAGAATGGTTCGAAATCAACAGAGTCCTGGTTGATTGAGCTTGGCTAAGTCACAGAGAGAAATGTAAGTTTGTTACGAAATTCTGTGCCTGTGTGTGCGTTTGAAATGTTATGAGCAAGATCATGAACTTGTGTGGACAGGCGAATTTTACTGGATCTTACTGACGACTTGTGAAAAAGTCGCCTCTCTTAAGGAAAAAGGTTAAGCTTCCACGGAAAGGTGGGAAAAGTTAATCTTGCATTAAAACATATGTGATTGGTTAAAAATTAACCAATCACTATATTCGTACTAACAAAACGGGCAAGCAAGCTCAAAACCGAAGGATTCAAAGAAACGACTGCAATGGTTAAATTGTCCTATAGAAAGGTAGTAGTGATTTACTAGCCAATCGCAGACGAATAAAATGTGTGCGTGGAAAGACATAGCAACCGCTACAACTGTACCAGAGCAAAAATTACTCATCTGGATTAGAGAATTTCACTAGTTGACTCTGTCTCGTTTGAACAGATGAATCATATTTTCAACTCTTTCGAGGAGATGGTTGAGTTCATGTGTGGAGGAGACAATGGCATTGACAAGTGCCACATATACACACACATACCAGATCACTGGTACACCTTAATGCTAGTCATGTCTATTGGTGCTAATGATTTGTTTCAGCAAAAATAAAGCAACGGTGCACGGCTGACACGAAACTGTTTCCACTAACAACGTGCCATTCAAATTTAAACTCCATTGAAAACATCTTGGCCAGAACAAGAAGAGATTTGGAAGAGTTTAGTTTTTCGGCCAGATTTTAGGAAGCAATTCGGGCGTAAAATGTTTTTAGCACCCCTCGCATATGTGTGAACATTTTAGACACCCGCCTTTATTTTTCAAAAAGTGAGATTAGTGTCCATCGGCTTAGGAAAAAAAAAGTAGTACATTTTATTTAATACTTCTCTCTATGTCTAGGCCGGTGGACATTAATTTCACTGAAAGTAAAATAAAACCCTGGAATGTCTGCTCAAAAACAGGTATCCACTAACATAACGGATATATATATATATATATATATATATATATATATATATATATATATATATATATATATATATAATGTGTGTGTGTGTGTTTGTGTGTGTGTGTGTGAAATTTCAGATATAAATATAAATAGAGCTGAAAAAGACAATGTAAATAAAGACAAAATTAAGAATTGTTCATCACTGATACGTTTCGTTTTTTGATCAGAGAATGAAATATGTCAGTAAAGACAGTTTTTCCTTCTGTTTATATCTATCTATCTATCTATCTATCTATCTATCTATCTATATCTCTATATATATGTGTGTGTGTGTGTGTGTGTGTGTGTGTGTGTGACATGTTGCAGACATCATTGAATTCCTTGCAGGCCCAGTTGTTGGCAGCCCTAGAAGGTGAATTTATACATACTCCAACGCAACGACACCAGCTCAACGTAGATTCCATGTCATATCGCGTAGCTGCGGTTATTCAGGCGAAGAGCACACCAACCTCTTTTGTAGTTATCCCTAAGTTTTACTCTTCACTTTATAAAGTGCTGTTCTTATATATTGTATATATTTCTGAAATATCCAATGTGCATCTGTTCAGTGTTTGACAAAGTTGAGTACTGAACTGTTATATAATATCTGTCCTTCTATACGGCAGTAAATGCTTGACACAAGAAAAGACTTGAAGCAATAGAAATGTGCTTTTTCAGAAAAGATGCCGTGAATACCGTGGACCGAACATGTGAGCAACGACGAAGTTGTATAGAAAATGGAATAAAAACGGATACAAATACTAAAGAAAAGGAAGAGACAGTTGAAAAGTCTAGGGTACCTAATGAGGAAAGAGGGTTTGGAAAAAATTCATAGGGCAAATTCGAAAGTAAGACGGACAAAAGAAAACAACCTATAAGCTATCTAGCGACCTTGAGTAAATGGATTGCAGAAAAAGGTTTAGTAGAAATAACAAAAAGACAAAAATTATTATAAGCTACAAAGGACAAGACAAGATTTCTTCTAAAAAGATGTGTCATAGCACTGCATCTAGCTTCGGTATAACTGAAGAAAAGAAAGAAAAAAAGAAAAAAGAAAAGTAGAAAGAAAAAGAACGAAAAAGAGAGAGAAAAGAAAGAAAGAAAGAAAGAAAGAAAAAAAGACGGAAAGAAAGAACGAAAAAGAAAACTAGAAAGAAAAAGAACGAAAAGGAAAGAAAGTAAAAAGAAAGAAAGAAAATAGATAAAGAAAGAAAATAGATAAAGAAAGAAAGAAAGAAAGAAAAGTAGAAAGAAAAAGAACGAAAAAAGAGAGAGAAAAGAAAGAAAAAATATAGACGGAAAGAAAGAACGAAAAAGGAAACTAGAAAGAAAAAGAACGAAAAGGAAAGAAAGTAAAAAGAAAGAAAGAAAATAGATAAAGAAAGAAAGAAAGAAAAGTAGAAAGAAAAAGAACGAAAAAAGAGAGAGAAAAGAAAGAAAAAATATAGACGGAAAGAAAGAACGAAAAAGAAAACTAGAAAGAAAAAGAACGAAAAGGAAAGAAAGTAAAAAGAAAGAAAGAAAAATAAAGAAAGAAAGAAAGAAAGAAAGAAAGAAAGAAAGAATGAAAGAAAGAAAAGTAGAAAAAAAAGAACGAAAAAGAGAGAGAAAAGGAAGAAAGAAAGAAAAAATAAAGACGCAAGGAAAGAACGAAAAAGAAAAATAGAAAGAAAAAGAACGAAAAGGAGAGAAAGCAAAAAAAAAAAGAAAGAATGGTAGAAAATAAATAAAGAAAGAATGAAAGAAAGAAAAAAAAGAAAGAAAAAAAAGATAAGGACAGTTAAAAGCATTCAGTTCTGGTATCACCAAAATATAGAAAGAAGAAAAGGAAACCACTCAAAGATTCGCTCATTGGTAGAGGTATCTTAATGATTTCACTTCGATAATTCTGTTAGACAAGAAAACTCTAGGCGTCTACTTGTTAACGCTCATCCCATATCGTCATAATCACGCCGTGGATCAGCTACACCTCAAAAGGAATTCAAATTGAAAACTTATTAATAAAAATTACATAACATATTAAGCATATGGCAATAAAGATCTCATTATTTTACAGTTGAAATGGCTCGATGTAGCCGTAAGTTCTATGCTAATAGTTTCCTCTCTCGCACTTCTCGCTTGTGGAACCCTCTTCCGGCCATTTGCTTTCCAGTGAATTTTCATTTTCAAAAATTGAATGCAATATCAATCTTTATGTTTTCTTAATTCCTGTTCTTTTATTGTTCTCTCTCCTTAATATTAATTTCCTCATATTCTCTCACACCCAGTAACCTCTTGTATGTTAGTGACTTTATTGCCTTGACTGGGGTGAAATGATTAAAAAAATTAAATACAATCTCAGCTCAGAGTCTAGATAAAATACAGGATTTTGCATACTGAATTTTGTTCAAGGCAGTCTACCTGACAAAAAAAGATTTGGATCAGATAATCTATCTTACCGCATTTCCTTTGTTTACCAATAACATGTACCATAATTTTGTTTTTAGTAAAAGTTTGTATCCATTAACAATAACACATTAAAAAAAAAAAAAAAATTTCGATTCGCATTTAATTTTTTCGTCTCGGATATATATATGAAACCTAATATATATATATGAATATTTGAAACCTAAACTTTAATTAAGAAATATTACCCATCTAAAAATAGCTACAAATTAAATTCGTGAATTAGACTCTAACTGCTAAAGATTTTACCTTAACATTCATTCATAATATCAAAATATTACTATTAGTAAATTTTTATTTTTTATTATTGTTGTTTATTAATATAGTATTCGACTTATATTAAATCCCTAATTTATTTGTGGAGAAGTTGAATATTTAAATTGCTAACAAGCATTAAATTTATTTTCTTTGTGGAGTTTTTAAGCATTTAAATTACTATCAAACGTTAAAATCTGCTTTTATCTAAATTGCTAAAGCTATACCACCCCTCTTCTTCCTCCAAAAACCCTACGTATATCTCTTTACTTCCCCATTTTTTCTTTTTCTCTCCTTTTCCTTTTCCCATAACATTTCCGTTGAGGTGATCGATTAAATAGGTCAACGTCTGATCCTTACCCCCTCCTTCCTCAATATAAATATTATAATAAAAAGAAATATAAAAATAAATTTTAAAACTCTCTCATCCCTCTCTAAACTCGACCATGTCTCTCATACCATCCCTCACCACCCTCTATGTCAACTTTTATAAGCTTAATACAGCCCTTCAAAAGTGTAAATTTTAAATTAATTTTTCGTTTCACCTTTTGCAAGTGAAGTCTGAAGATCCAGAGAAAAATAAAATTCTCCGGTGAAATAAATTATTACAATGAAGCCTTAAAGTGGTCTGTTTTTCTTTAAAGTAAATATATATATATATATATATATATATATATATATATATATATATATATATATTGGGAAAAAATTGATTTGCATCATAAAATCTGACCTAATGTATGTATTTTTCCTACATAGACGAGCGAATCTATGCATTATTGGAATTGGCAAAGTGAGAGCATATATGAAGTGTTTGCCCACCAAATGACAGCGTCACTTTGGAATCCATGATTCATTTTGAACAAAATGTTAGGTTGTCAATTCATGCAAATGACGGTCTTGGATGACGGGTCTTGTCTGCAGATTTTAGTTTCATCGATGACAAATTTGTCGATATTAAATTACATATTTTCATCCCTAGGTCAGGATCTGCAAATGATGAGGCCCTTATGAAAGTTAATAGATATAGCGCAGGAATATATGCATTTTAGTTTTGTATGAGTTAGAAAATATTTAAGTAAAAAAAAACAAACATAAGTCCTCGTTCTATCAGTGTCATTATCTTACACCGACATGTATATCTGTGCGTGTATCACACACACACACACACACACACACACACACACACACACACACACACACACACACACAATAGTATATACAGGGTGTTCCAAAATAATGTATACACTCTTTAAATATTAATAGTTAATAATACATTACCATGATGTGAGAACTTATATGGATGAAAATCTGCAAAACAGATGGATCGGAAGAAGAGGGACTGTTGAATACCAACCTAGATCACCAGATTTGACGACCTTGGATTTCTTTTTGTGGGAGTTTCTAAAAGACAATGTTTACAGCAGGAAACCTGAAATAATTGCTGAAATGAGATTAGCAATTGAAGAAGAATGTGCTCAAAATACCAGAGGAAATGATACTGGATGTTTGTAGGTCTATTTCTTCAAGATATGAAAAGTGTACTGAAGAGAACGGCCACCAGTTTGAGCACTTAATGTTGATTTTTATACCTATACTATAACTCTGGCAGTGTAAAAAATAGATGATACAATTTGTAAATAAAAAAAAAATATTATACAAACTGACATCTGTGAAAAAATTCAATAAAAAAAGGTAAAAAGGAAAAATCCTTACTGCTTGAAAATAATTAACCAGCACCGCAATGGGTTTTAACCAAGAGGCTTTCAAAAAAGATATAACAACCATAGAAATAGTTTCGCACCCGAAATATACAGGTACGGGACTAGTTTATCTAACTATGTGAGGGGGATTAAAACGAAGCAAGATAAATCATATATTAAAATGGGAGATAATAAAAAATGCCGTAAATATAACGCTGGTGATAGATAATTGCTTCATATGTATGGAAGAAAAATTAGCTATAGCTTCTTATAATAATCCTAATGAAATTACTCAACCAGAGAAATGAAATACTTAATGCTTGTAGGCATAATAAAGTCTGGTTACTTGGGAATATGATGTGAGTTTTTTTGGGGTTTTTTGTTTTTTAATGCTAATTTTTTATTCTTTATGGTGGTCTCTTTTTCAATAAAATATCGTTTGAGCTAACCCTCTTTAGTCAGAATTATCCTGATGATCCAGTAGGTGAAATTTAGGTAGATAGGTTCTGGCTCTTTAGGTATTCTTTATATATATATATATATATGTATATTATATCACTTTTCAAAAAAAATAATTTGAAAACAAGATGAGAATGTTTTTCTTAATTAAAATAGTTAAATTCTAAGCATTTATGTTGTGCCTTCTTGGCAATAAGTCGTTTATTTAAAATACCAGAATATATCATGAATACTTTTCCGAAAACAGCAGCATTGCCTCCAATAAGGCGTTCATCAGATGATGACACTTGGATTAGGCATTGTTCCGAGGCTGAATATCATTAACGCAGGACAATCCGACAATGCCTCACGACATTCGTTTCTTTTCTATATTTCGTGAATGCTAGAGTCATGCAGACGCAGCTTCCGTCCGATTCTGAAAATATCTTAAGATTGATTTTGATTTTTCTGATGTAAACAATCTGAGTTTAGGCTTATCTGACGAAAAGTAATTAATGACAACGTAGATCTGTTTCTTATATATCATTGTTACAGATCTTCATATACAGACAAGCGCGCGCACACACACACGTACACAAACACACACACACATACACAAAAAAATCCCACACAACCCCCTACATATATATATGTATATCTATCTATCTATCTATCTATCTATCTATCTATCTATCTATCTATCTATGTGTGTGTGTGTTTGTGTGTGTGTACGTGTGTGCATGTACATATATATATGTATGTGTGTGTGTTTGTGTGTACGTGTGTGTGTGTGTGCTTGCCTGTATATGAAGATCTGTATTAATGATATATAAGAAATATATATATATATATATATATTCATATTTGTATATATATATATATATATATATATATATATATTGAATATTTGTATATATATATATATATATATTCATATTTGTATATATATATATTCATATTTGTATATATATATATATATATATATATGTATAAATAACAAGCGACAAAAGGGAAAACTATTCTTAGCCGAAGCTGAGAGACTTTATCTGAGGACGAAACGCCTCGACTAAGAATAGTTTTTTCTCTTATCGCTTTTTATTCATTTTGTTTCTCTACAGATACAAGCTATCTGAAAATAATTTACGCGTATACAAATATATGAGAGAGATAGAGATAGAAAGAGAGTGAGAAGTAGAGAGTGAGAGAGAGAAAGAGAGTGAGAGAGAGAAAGAGGGAGAGAGTGAGAAAGAGAAAGAGAGAGAAAAGTGATAGAAAAGAGAAAGAGAGAGAGAGTGAGAGAGAAAGAGAGAGGGAGAAAAGAGAGAGGGAGAAAAGAGAAAGGGAGTGAGGGAAGGATAAATAGAGAGTGAGTGAATGAAAGAGAGAGAGTGAGAGAGAGAGAGAGAGTGAGACAGAGAGAGAGAGAGAGAGAGAATAAACGAGTCGAAAAAGAACGAATCGTACCAGAGATGAAGAAAAGAAGAAAAACCGATTTAAAGACACTACCTAAAAACAATGGTCAATAGTCCAGGTCACGGCATTTAATAGTTGTCAGTATAGCAAATTTGAAATTTGAAAATGTAGTTAGCGTATTTAATAAGCGTTTATACATATATAGAAGAAAAAGCCCCCATCACAAGCGAACAATAATAAAAGGCACTGATTTCGCAGATGATATTGTCCTGATTACAGAAGAAATGTCAAGCCAAAGAACTTCACCTCAGACTCGAGCCAGGTACAAGCAAGGTTGGATTGCATCAAAAGGTGCTCCAATTCTACCAAGCAATACAAGAGCAAGTACGTTCAAATACCTGGGCTCTTGGATGTCCAACTCGTTCAAGGCCTTTGAAGTGAGAAGAATTCTAACTTTGGTGATCCTTCAATAAGCTGTCGAAAGTAGGGAAATTAAAACTCAGTCATAACATCAAGATACGCATCTTCCTGGCTAC